TGAACGCGACCGAGACCGTGATGGTGACCGCCGTCATTACAACAAGAGCCGCTGCTTAGATCGCCGTGATAAGAAGAACGAGGTGGCAGCCACCCGCAAGCAACTCGAGGGCAAGGACAAGGAGTGCGCGGCCTACCTACATGACAAAGCCTGTCGAGAGCGGGAGTTGGGTCTCCGCAAGCAAGGGGAATCGGTTGCGAAAGCGCTCGAGTTGGCTTTCACCCGTCAGACGGGGGAGCTCAGGAAGGCGATCGCTCCGAACCACTGCTCCCGCACCACCTGTTCTGCCCCCCTCTCGGCCGAGCTCTGGGTCCCTCGCGCTCGGAGACGGGGTGGCTCCAGACGGCCGTGGGTTCCAAGGTCAAGCTGCCGGCAACGAGCTCCAGAGACGAGATCCAGGATGCAATCGGGAACCCCCTATCCACTGATAAAGAAGCCACAAGATCCGCTAACAAGATCATCCTCGCAACTACGCCCAGCAAGTAGCTCCCGTCGTCCCAGAAGGGCAAGGTCTCCCTGCTCATGGATTTCGTGGTGGATAAGTTGGGCTGGGTTTCATTGATATTTGAAGCCCTGAGCCCCTGTGCCCACAAGCCCCGCGACCAAACGGTACGTTGCCCGAAATTCAAATATTGTGCCGTGTCTTTTGTTCTCGAGGTCCTCGTACGGCTCTTCCTATGCAGCATCCTACCTGCAAAAGGAGCGCGCCACTTAGAAATCAGTCGGTCCTACTGGGTGTTGAACTGTTCCCACGTTCGGGCGGCATCCAGCATTCGTCGGGTGCTGAATGCCTTCGAGATGCCCTTCATAAGGTTCAGTTCAAGGGAGCGCTTCCTGGTCCAAGGCGCCACTTCAGGAGCCATGGGGATGGCCCTCAGCAGCGCGGTCGGTTTTACCCGTGGAAGTTCAAATTGTCAATCAGGTCAACTGTCTCCCCTTTCCCAGGCCCCCCAAAGAGCTCGCAGGCGTGAAGTGCTGGAGATTGACGGATCCCAGCGCTGACAGGCGTGGTTCTCAGGAGTTGGGCTTTCTTCTCTCAACTCTGCCATCCTACTTTTGACACATGCCCTGTTCATCCCTACCGTCTTCCACCTTTGCACCAATGCCCCGTCTTTGGTCCAATCATGACATCGAGAGGCATGCCGGGAGCCCCCGCGAGTGGCCCTTTCTCTCTCGATCTTAATTCCCTCCTCCCATCAAGATCCTTGGCTCTCCCTCCCCGCTGTCCGACCTCCCGCTGCGCCCTGTGGTGGCAATCAGCCGCCGACGAGGACCCGCCCCCCAGCCGCCCGCCCGCGTGTCTCATTTTTGTTGTTGTTTCTCCCTCTCTCTCCCTATCTCCCCACCCGCCCATTAGCATCATGCATGTGCCCACTGTGTTCTTCCCTTTCTCTCGATCTCTCGTGCGTTTGTTGTGCCATGCTTGTGGCCAGCTTACTATCGAGCGTGTCAGGGGACCAGGCAAGCCTACGCGACGCTCACAGCCTGCTTGGAGGTCGCGTTACGCCCCGAAAGAAGCATTCACTCGCATACGGTGACTCTCTCTCGCTGCCTCTCTCTCTCTCTCTTTTTCTTTCTTCCGTTCTCTCTCCCGTTGTTTTTTGTTTGCGTGCTCTCTCTCTCTCTCTCTCTCTCCCTCTCTCCCTCTCTCCCGAGCGAGCATCGGCCCTGACCGCCGCCAGACAGCGAACGACCAGTGGCCGGAGCGCCCAGCGGAGTGCCAGATGCGCCACGCTGGCGGGCGAGAAATGAGCACGCCCGCCTCCGAGCGGTGCGCAATGCGGGCCACACCTGCCTCACCTTGCGCGTAGCATTCTGTTCTTGCTCCCTGTCCGGAACGTCGGCGCGCCACAGGCTTGCAATCAGTCTCTGGAGGCCCCAGAGGGCGAGCGGCGCCTGGCAACCACAACGGACCCATCATCAGGATCCCCCCCCCCCCCCGCAATAAAAAACAAAAAAAACCCACGAGCGGCGCCCCCCGAGGCCGCGACCCCCCCCGGCAGCAGCTGCCGGACCCGCGCCCTCGGCGCTCCCGAGGCGCCCCCCCAACGCTGCCAGGCGCTCCACGAGTGCTCCATCGCTCCCCCGGCGGCCCCCGGCGCTCCGCGGGCGGCCCCCAGGCGCCCCCCACGCGCTCCCAGGCGCTTCCCCGGACACGCCCCCTGGCGCTCCCCAGGAACGCCCGACCCCCTCCTCCTCCTGCTCCCCTCCTCCCCCTCCTCCTCCTCCTCCTCCTCCTCCTCCTCCTCTCCTCCTCCCCCTCCTCCTCCTCCTCCCTCCTCCTCCTCCACCTCCTCCTCCTCCTCCTCCTCCACCTCCTCCTCCTCCCCCTCCTCCTCCTCCTCCTCCTCCTCCTCCTCCTCCTCCTCCTCCTCCTCCTCCTCCTCCTCCTCCTCCTCCTCCTCCTCCTCCTCCTCCTCCTCCTCCTCCTCCTCCTCCTCCTCCCCCTCCTCCTCCTCCTCCTCCTCCTCTCTCCTCCCCTCCTCCTCCTCCTCCTCCT